CACAGAGCATCCCCCCCAAGCACCTACCCCTTGCCCACAGAGACCCCCCCTTTGCCCACAGACCACCCGCTTCACCCACAGAGCCCCCCCCTTGCCCCTCTTCCCAGGAGCCACCACCGGGCACCCCGCTTGCCTCTTCACTTCTGTGAGGCAAAGCTTTGTGGGTCTGGGGTTTTCTTTTCATTTTTCCCGAGCTGTTCTGGAGTGTTCTATTTTTCCCTGTTAATTTTGAGCATTATTAATCTCTGTCATTAACCTCATCACCTGCACAAAGGATGGGGCTGTGACACTCCTCTGAGGAAGCTCGCACGCGGCTTGGAATAGGCCCCTCTTCTTCCCTGCGCGTGTGCACCATCTAATTCAGTAGGGCGCGATTTGCTATTCAGTGACACCATTATCAACAGTAAATATTTTTATCTTTCCACAACGTGATTTCAAAACTGCATACAAATAATTTTTGGCCGAATTCTCAGTTGGGCTGCTCTTTCCTGCTTGGTTCTGGCACTGAGGCTTAAGCTGCGGTGGTGAGGTATATGTATTGTTATTTATTTACTAGTTAGATGTGGAGGGAGGGAGGAATTCAACAGAATGTACACTTGTAACACTTCAGTGTGTTTTTACAGCCAGCACATTCAAACTCTTTCCAGTATTTTTATTTTTTTTAATCGCGTTTTGCTCTAATCTTTAAAAAACTTCAGGGTATGTTCAAAGGCAGTAACAAGTAAAGCTGTTCTCAAGCTGTGCTCGAGGCGTTCCTGCCAGAAATCCGTGTTTGACTCTGTGTGTGTGTGTGTTCTGAGATGCATCGTTGCTTTGGGTGGAAAAGGGGGAAGGAGCACGGAGCTGAGATTTTAATGGGTTAACTTTGATTCATTGCAGCGTGATGTCCTTTCCTATGAGATGAGGAATAACTACTTACTAAGTACATAGTAACGTGAGGCAAAAAAAGTACTTTAAGAATTTATCCCTGGGGAAGATCAGGCATCACTACTACTCTAAGATAGTTGCTTTTCCTAGGTATTTGTGTGATGTTAGGGCTGCCATATGTCCCCAGTTTCCAGGAATTGTCTTCCCCCCTCCCCCTTGGGCACTCTTGTCCTGCTCCAGGACCCACTGCTGTTATTTGGCACAGTTGAGGAGAAAGAGGGTGCCCTTTCCTATAGGTGGGGTGCCAGAGGGTGGCTGTCCTGTCTGCTGCTTTCTGGGGCTGGTGATGGTGGCTCCCCTCCCCTCCCCTCCCCTCCCCTCCTCTCCTCTCCTCTCCTCTCCTCTCTTTTTTCTTTTCTCTTTCATCTCTTTTTTCTCTCTTCTCTCTTTTTTCTCTTCTCTTTTTTCTATTTTTCCTCTTTTTTTCTCTTCTCTCTTTCTCTTTTTTCTCTCTTTTATCTTTTTTCTTTCTCCCCCCCTTTGGTTATGTCTGGTTGGAGTCCAAGACTGGGGATGTTTGTTCATAGTTTTCAGAGGACTCACAGCCTTCTCAGATGGCAGGCTTCAGCTGGGTCAAGAAGCTGGGTCAAGAACCTAAAGAAATGGCTGTAGTTCTTCCATCCGTTTGCTTCAATGGGTTATGCATTTAAGTGTTCCAAATAATATAAAGCGAATCTGAGTAAAGCTTCTTAGAGGCTAGATGTGAGGTTACAAAATGAATCCTTGTAAGAATATTGAAGTACTATGGACCTTGTCCCCCTGCCTTCAATAATATAAACATACAGCAGTGTGTATAATGTTTCTGGTTGCTTTCTAAAGCCCTGAGTAAGCAGAGCGGCACGTGGTGATGGTGAGAATGTGAAAGATTTATCAGCTGTGTTTGGAGGTAATTAGTTTATTTTTCTTTTTGAAGGTGTTCAGAAATTATGCTGGTATTTATACGGAACAGAATAACACACTTACAGGTTTTGGAACCTAACATTAGGTACTGGGATTGGAATTTCAGGGCCAGGTGCGCCTTGGTAATTTTAGTCAGTGTAGTTAGAGTGAGTTCTTACCTAGATTGTACGTCTCCCGATTGAGGTCCAAGTAGCAGATATTTGGGAGCTGCTGGGCTAACTAATGTGCTCAGGGACTTGGAACATGATTCAGTCCAACCGCTGGAGCACAGCTGAAAACCACCGTGCTGCAGTCAGAAGGCTGTGCTGTGGGCTTCAGAACTGTGCTGTGATTTCCTTGACACAGTTTAGAATGGGTAACAAGGTAGAAGGTAAATTCAGAGCTTGATCCCGCTTTGAGTATTGCCTACTGAAACAAATATATTTTTATTTCCTCATGAAATGAGGCTGTCACAAAGGCGCACAGAAGTCCACCCTGAAGTCCTGGATGCGGCTGTGAAAGGGTTGGGCAGAAGCTTCACAGGGTGAAGCTATGACACGGCTGTCGTAGAAAGCTCATAATGGTGTCACGCTGTGGCCTGTGAATCGTGACAAGACTAACTTTATTTCTTCTGGAGCATCCTTCGAAAGACTAGACATTTCCCTCCCGCTGTTTGTACCCTTTTCTTGTGCTATCCTTGCCTCCTGCTGCTTGTCCCAGGCTGTGCTGGAGGCACTTCTGCAGAGAGACAAGTGTCTCTAATTTATTATTTTAATATCATGAACTTTAGGAGCTGAGTATGCTATGCTTGTGATGCTTGTGGCTGCTTAGCAGGGGAAGTACTGAAGCATTCTCCAATACAGTTGCCCCTGAATAGCTCTTGAAACTTTTAGAAGGGCAGAGTGCCAGTTTACTACAGGGAACATTTTATGTTGCGTGCCATAGTAAGGTCTGGATTCTCACTCCTCTCCAGATGTGATTAATGATTCTTTGCCTTGCACAGTCCTTTAAAGTGCAGCTCATTATTGGCTTTATCAAGTGGAGCGATGCAGAAGGAGGTTATCTTCCTTACTTTATAATCCAACAGCTCCCAATATGAGTATCTTGTCTTGCACAGGTGGAGGGTCTGCTCCCTCTCTGCCTTGCAGAGGGTTTCTTGGAGCTGAGCTTCCTATGACTGACAGGGAGCCTGTGCTACCAGTGAGGGTTGGTTCCCCCCTGTTCCCACTCCTCCACACCCTGAGTGTGAGCAGCAGGTGGAGGGAGGGAGGTCATCCTGCCCCTCTGCTCTGCCCTGGGGAGGCCCCATCTGGAGCACTGGGACCAGTTCTGGACTCCCCAGTTCCAGAAGGACAGGGAACTGCTGGAGAGGGGACAGCAGAGGATACAAAGATGATGAGGGGCCTGGAGCATCTCTCTGATGAGGAAAAGCTGAGGGACTTGGGGCTTTTTAGTCTTTCTAGAAGAAGAGAAGGCTGAGGGGGGATCTGATCAACGCCTATAAATCCTTCAAGGGTGGGTGTCAGGAGGATGGGGCTGGTCTTTTTTCAGTGGTGCCCAGGGACATGACAAGAGGAAATGGGCACAGACTTGAACGTAAGAAGTTCCACCTAAACATGAGGAGGAACTTCTTTGCTGTGAGGATGGCAGAGCCCTGGCAGAGGCTGCCCAGGGAGGTGGTGGAGCCTCCTTCTCTGGAGACATTCAAACCCACCTGGACACGTTCCTGTGGGACCTGCTCTGGGTGGACCTGCTCTGGCAGGGAGTTGGACTGGATGATCGCCTTCCAACCCCATAGCATTCTGTGAGTCCTGTGACCAAATGCGCTCTTGAACTGTGGTGCATTGAGAACTAGTGGTTAAGACTTGGTCTGCTGAGAAGAGGCTGTGCTAGCTTCATCTTGGTGAATCAAGGTCAGCTATATGTCAGGAGAGTCAGGGCCACAACAAATTGGACAAAGGCTGCCTCAGAATTACGTGGAAATATATAGTTGTGTCTTTGTGCAAAGGGACTATAAAGTTCTGCATTGAATTTAAAGCGAAGGGAACAAGAGGAAGCAACAATACGCTGTGAATGCTCTTCCATCATTCCATAAGCTTGATTATCTCTT